GATCTGAGGAATTACCTTAAATTGTCTTTAATAAATGAGATTCAAAATACTCAAAACAAAACTCGAAACGATCGTCTGCATCATAATAAATTGAGTAAAATCAGTCAGACCGTCAGTTTCGACCATCGCTTTTTTGCGTCGTGCAAACGGACGTTTCCAACGTTACCGATCGTGTGGCAGAGTCTGGGCCTCAGCAGAAGATAACTGGAATCAGAACAGAGTCTTTCGATACACTTGTCCCAGGTTATTCTTCGACTGTGGAAACAGATATTGTTTCGCCTTCCTTTCAGGAGGCGTTCATAAAAAAACGCTCCCACGTCATTGCAGTAGTGTCTTCTCAGTGCGAAGAAGCAAGCTGTACACCAAGACCTTTTCGGATCTATGTTCCGGAGCATGTCGAAACGCGCAATGCTTCATCGCAGAAAGCTTCTTTCAGTCACTTGTGCCAGGGATGGAGGTTTTTTAGCCACCATCATAGGGGAGCATCAGGACCAAGATCAATTTGAACACCAACAACTTAGTCTTTACACACAACTCGGCTTTAGTCACAACCATTCGCGATAATTCATGGAGGACGCTGTTGGTGATCCCAATTCGTCGGTCAGTTTCTTTCTCCCATTATCCATCATCTGTAACACGACCCCGAAGCAGGCGAACCTCTTTACATGTTCCACTGCTTCTCCAATTAACTGCAAATCGTAACTGGCAGAAAAACGAGAAAGCATTAAGCTTCCTGTCTTAGATGACGTTCAAATGCGTGCCGGCCACGTCGCAGTTGGCTGCTGGACCTTTCACAGGGCGCTGGACATCAGTTTCAGTAAGTAAAATTAATTAAGTAAAAAAACAAGGACTACAGAAATAAATGAAAGAACATATCAATTGCAGGTCCAAAGTCGATCCGTTGAACATTTTCTTGATAAATAGTCAGCATAAAAACCACAGAAAAATAATGGTAAGGCTCTACTAAACATTCGGCGCATTTGGTAACTGACGCCGTCAACACGATCAAAGTTGAATACCATAAAGCCTCACCATCGTTGGTTTATTTACGTTTGCTTATTTCAATGATGCATAAAAAAATTCAGAATACTGCCATTAAGTTTCACTTAAAATTCATATTAAAATTAAGTTAATATTTCAGCCTTAAACTTTAACGGCAAGTCAAACAAAGCGGAAAACGAAGCGATGCCAAACTGGCCATAGCCGAAACAACAAAATGATTATTAATTATTAAAAGACGAAAGGAACATAAAAGACGGAAGGAGCAGGTGCACGAGTTCTCACACTGTGGCCAATGACAAGAGAAAAAAACAGACGCAAGTGCGTCAAACATGCATTTCGGAGGAAGACTGGTTTCCATGAATAAACAATCGGCGTCACTACGAAAAGTGGAATAAAACAACAAGAAGCGACGAACTGGTGGTTCCAGAACTAACGCGCTGCAGTCAGGGCAGAAGGGCCACTCGGTCTTGCCACAGAAAGATAAGAAGCTTAAGTAATACGAGCAACTGCGAAAGGAGTTAAACCATTTACCATTCCATTAAAGGGAACAGAAGACATCCATCGGCTGATCGACTGAAACACAAGTACAAAACCTCAAGACTGCGCCGATATCGACATTTAGAGATTAAACGTCCGAGAGAAAGAAAAATCGATTCTCATTAAAGGCATGGCTCACACAGGCTTTTAGATCGGGAAATCAGTACCGTGCTTTAACGATGTATACCGACACTTCAGCAACAATCAGAAATTTACTATCAGACAACTCAGTCAGTACTCATAACATTGTACTGCTGAGCGGAGCGACTCACTCCGCGAATGGCTAACCAGCAATGGTTCAAAAAGTGGTCTCAACGATGGGATAAGAAGTTAACCCCACCAAAACGAAGACCAGATTCAGCTAACGATAAAGAGATTCAATAAGTAGATCAACCATCGGTCAGAGGTCGAAAACCTCAAGTAACTCGGTTCTGTACTGGTAAAAAATATTTGAAAGTAGTGCGGCGCTTTCGGCTTGCATTCGTTAACTTCCAGTGACTTCCTAAAGTGTGGCAAGATCGAACAATCCAGACAAGAGCAAAAATCACCGTTCTGAAAGCCGTCGTCTAAACAGGAAGCATGAAACATGAACCAATTTAAAGAGCCATGAAAAGATACTAGACGCTTTTCAGCAGCGTTGTCTGTGGAATATTTTGAAAGTACGATGGTTCCATGGAATAAAGAATGAAAAGATCTTGGAGATGACCAGCTCGGGAATGCTGTCTGAACAAATCACGTACCGGAGTCTGTGTCAGTCTCACTTTTACCAAAAACCATTCTGAAAGACAATGGGGACTTATCCAAAAACAGTTCTCCTCTGGGATGTAAAAAATGACAATAGGCGCGTCGGAAGAAAACGTCGCATCCTAAAGCAGCTGCTAGAGGCGGACTTGCTTGTGTCGAGGAATATGATCATTGCCGCAGCAGCCAACATAGCAAAAATCATTCTGAGAAGCCAACGTATCAGACATCTCCAGTCTTGATACTTGGTCCTTGGTGTACATTGATACTCCAGATGACAATGACAACAACATTCTATATAAATACGACATATTGCTGGGTTTTAAAAAGTGACGAACAAGAGAACAGGGCATAAATTTTTTGCTTACAGCCATTCCATCCAAACTGGCATTTCGAATCAAGTTTGAAATCCGAGGTTCTCATACGATTCCGATATTAAGTCATAATAGGTATCGCGTTTATTCTGTAACGTTAAGTTTTTGTATACACCTTACGGAACCTGTTGTCATATGCCGTATAAAGAACTTTGTACCATTTTCAACAGAACATTATTCATCTTATATAATTATACAACAAGCGCTCCTTAATGCGTTTACGGCAAGTATTATTCCACAATTTCTCTATTTTATAGCTATAGACTCGCAGATTCTGGAACTATCCTGGTCCTGGCATTCAAATCAGGCAAAAAAGCAATGAAGAAAAATCTGGGCACTGGTTATCCGAACTATGTTCCATTTATCCTGCGCTTCATCGTGTCAGCCGAGGAAAAAGATGGCTGGCAAAGAGAAGGCACATGCTAAAATTCTTCACTTTCGCATCTAAACAGGAAGAACATGAAAGTTACTCGACGGGTACAACCTGACAAAGAGAAAATGTTACTGCCACTGAATAGACCACAATAAAGTGACAAAATATTTTCACAGCCAGTGTCGATCGAGCAACATCGTGGGGCTACTTCTGTAATTATAAAAATTGCTGCCAATTATCAGACGAAAATTTAAACAACAAAATAACTTTGGCTACAGTGGGTCGGAACCGGAGAATACGGTAATCGGTCGCATAGCTGAATAACATTCAATGATATCAGAAGCTTATCGAAAATATCTACATGTTTACAGCGTTTCTCAGGAAATGCAACGTTGGGGATATCTGAAATCGGCGAAACCGTGTGTCCAACGTATGGCGATTATCCAGTGAAAGTTATAGCCTCATTCGTTTCCAGAACAGCCTTCTATTAGCATAATTAAATACGCTGGCAAAACTATAAAATTAGCGATGTTATTGTTGCAGGCTATTATTAATTCATGCTTATCATGTTCAAGAAAGCTATGGATTACATCGCAATCAGGGTTACGCCATGTGCTGACTTTTACACTTTGAATCAGTCAGCTATCACGTGATTCAAGGCAAAATACAATCACAACGGACGGCCTCAAGAGAGCATGATCGTACTCTTTGTCCATTTTGACGGAACGAGACCAGGATACAATAATGGCCGTAATACTTGTCAATCACCGACTTGCTACACGTTTCCTGGTTAGTTGGCCGAAACAACGTAGGGTTAATTCCTTGCTCAAGGCAATTAGCGGTCAAGATAAAAACTGTTCATGACCGCATTCGAATCCCGCACGTGCTTAGTCATAACCCGATTTCTTAGGCACTATGCCACCACATCCCAAGGCTGACAAAAAATTTTTGTTCGTTCTATTTTGTACTCCTAAGCTACGTAGAACAACAAGAGGGGAGGGACGACACCACATTTTCTGAAAGAAGCCGCTTGACTGACCTTAACGTGCCCATTTTTGTGATCTAACCACTGTCGTGGTTATTCTTCACTTAAAAATGCACTCAGACACTATGCTACACAAGCTTTCTTATGATGTCATTATAGCATTTCAAGAAAGGGACTATTAACCTTTGGACGGCACCTCATCCTAATGGAATATGCACAGCTATCACCAGATGTGTCAGGACTAATACGAACAATGCTGATTATATGCGAGACATAAGAAAATGACTCTAAACTTCCCTCTTCAATAATAACAACATAAAGCCAATTCCAACCTATCCTGTTAAGGCATCCATAAGAGAATTACCTGAAGTTAATAAATTCTAATAAACCAATAACGGTTTTATAATTCGCAAGAATAAACAGCCCCTAAAAGCGGATGAAGAACAAACACTTCGTAAACAAAGACGCAGGTCATATCTTAGCAACCGTCAAATAACGTAACATTGAAAATTTTAACAGAACTTAATGAATGAAAACCGGAAACATCGGATTCGCAGACGACGAAATGGCTTGTCATGGGAAATTGGTCCCAGGTTGACAAATGTCATACACCGCAAAACTGCACCTCCCGAGTGAACTCACTTATTCACTAATGCAATTGTCCAAAGGTGACGCTTTTTCTGTCGACAAAAATTGTTCAAACTTGTCAAAAATGACAGCGAACTGTCCAACGTGAGCAAACGAAACCCAACCAACTATTCCTTCACCGTCAACTTGTATTCGAAGGCGACGTATATCCTACGAGGCTGAATAAAAAACCACGGATCCTTAAATTCCCTCACAATGAATTTCCGAACATCAATTCATTTAAAATAATTAATATTCATTTGTTTAGCCGTCACAAACCCGGTTGAGAAAGGAGGAGGATTGGCGACCGTGGCGAAGTCTCCGTAAAATTTTGCCATCTGCTACTCATGGTATTGGCGATTTAGAAAATAACGCCGGCTAGGCCGTCGCGCGAGTTACCCAGGGCCGCGCAGGCTGCTGGAGGACTCAGGCAGGCTCTGACTGGAACCTGCTCACTGCCCTCTGCTGGCCGCGGGAGCAGCAGCACACCTATGCTGAAGAAGATCGAAGAACAAACGACGACGATACCAGTCAGCAACGGAGTCGCTACCAGTCAGCAACGCAATTCTATACAGAGGAGGCAGACAACAGAGCTATAGCAAGTCTGAAAAGCGTCCATTACAGCGACACCGCCAGTGAGGGCTTACACTCGCAAATTGGAATATATCCTCACTCACAAAGAAAGAGCAAGAGTCAATTCGTGAGGCCATAAGGCAACAATTCCACATTGTTGGACTATCGTCACGAAGTGCCAACGCTCTGAAATCCTGAACTTCTGCTGGTGGAGCTATTATTACTCAGGTGTCGATATCATGACGCGCGCTCAGGCCGGTATTGATGTTCTGGTAGAACCCAACCTCGCAGATAGAATTATCGATTGCAAGCTTGCCAGAGGAATGGTGGTAATCTCCCGACTGAAGCCACAACAGGCTAAATCAATGACTTTGGTAGAGGTCTATGCGCCCAATTTGGAAGGAGAACATGAGACCTTCCTTGAGGAAGTGCAGTATGCACTGTCCGAAGTGCCGAATACAGAGTCCCTCATATTGATGGGCGATTTTAATGCGCACGTCGGAGTAGACG